ATTAATAATTTTCATTAATAATTTTCATTAATAATTTTCATTAATAATTTTCATTAATAATTTTCATTAATAATTTTCATTAAATTAATAATAGGTCCTTTTACTATTAAAAAATATGATTTCTGGAAATAACGCCAACCACCTGTATTCCATACCAATGCTGTTACAAATTGGCTTGTAAATGGTTCAATATGTTATTTCAAACAGACACTTTCAAAGATGGGATCTATTCCTTGCCCACTAGGAAAGTTTTATCCTTCCATTAAAGGTGCTCAAAACAGCTGAGCTTTACCTTATTATTACCAAAAAAGTCTCAAAAATACTCTAAATCATTGGAATCTTTCTTATGAGACTCCACATGGATAAAATTTTGTCCTCAGTATGCATGTGAAATGCCTCTAAATCTGAAGGAGTGATTTGTCATTACAAGATATTTTTAAAGAATGATTTCAATATAGTCATAATTACCAGAATGAGAAATTATCTAGTGAATCTTCCATTAATCTTACAAAGCTATTCTCAAGCCTAAGTTATTTCCATCTATATTCTAATCAAGACTCATCATAATAATTTTGTGAGATTAGTTTCTAACATTAATGCAAGGTTTTGTCTTACTACTTTAAGAATCTTATTATTGTTAATTTTATTAATACGTAGAAATTCCTTCTAGCATCTTTAATAAATTGACCTAGGTAACAGTATATGCATAAAAAAAGATGCTCTTCACTTGAGTGAAGAGCATGCCATCATCATATATGAAAGACAAAGGATGGTTAGAAATAAATCTATAGACAAACAACTGACTTCTGAAACAGTGAAAATATAAATAGCTTGTTTGATTTTACAAGAAATCTTGGCAAAATCCAAAGGCATGTGGAGGTAAGTGCTGTCACAGTCCATGGTAATAAACACTGCTGTTAAATATGAAAAACTATGCCTTAAGTCCCAAAGTAATATCTCTCTATTAAGTGGTTTATTTCACAAGCAAAATGAGTACTGCAAAAGCAGTTGTTTACCTTTTTTAAAAATATGGATTCTTTCCCATGGTTCATTACCCTTTCTATTACTTTATTGTATAGATTAAAAATATGTCAAATTCTGCATGCATACATCATCAGCATTGTGTATGTCATGGATGTGAATAGGGCAAGATCAATTCAGGGGTTTTCTTCTGTATTTTTACTTGTTACTATCTTGGTATGTGACCTTGGGCAATTTCCTGAACTTGCCTGTGATAGTTCTTTCATCTGTGACATCTGGGATAGTCACATTTGAAGAAGGGCACTTTATTAGTAATAATATTGTATGAATTTATCTATAACAAATGAAGTAGTAAATAGCACCTTTGAATACAGGGATCCAGTCATTATCCATCATAACTCCTGGCAATGTGCTCTGCAGGCCAGGAAGCCAGCGGTGTCCCAGGCTGCTCCACAGGCAGGTGAGCAGCAGGGCAAGGGAGGTGATTCTGCCCCTCCACTCTGCTCTTGTGGGACCCCACCTGCGGTGCTGTGTTCAGCTCTGAGGCCCCCAACACAATGGGGGGGTGGACCTATTGGAGTGAGTCAGAGGAGGCCACAAAGATGCTCCAAGGGCTGGAGCTCCTCTGCTCTGGAGCCAGGCTGGGAGAGATGGGAGCGTTCAGACTGGAGAAGAGAAGGCTTTGGGAGACCTGAGAGAGCTGGAGAGGGATTTTTGACAAGGGTCTGGAGTGACAGGATGAGGGGAAATGGCTTCAAACTGACAGAGGGTGGGGTTAGATTGATATTAGGAAGAAATACCTCCCTGTGAGGGTGGTGAGGCTCTGGCACAGGTTGCCCAGAGAAGCTGTGGCTGCTCCATCCCTGGAAGTGTTCAAGGCGAGGCTGGATGAGGCTTTAAGCAGCCTGGAAGGTGTCCCTGCCCACGGCAGGGAGGCTGAAACTAAATGGTCTTTAAGGTCCCTTCCAACACAAACGATTCTGTGATTCTGTGGTAACAGCATTGTCTCCTCTTTCATTCTCAGCAGCATATACTTGGCAGTCTATAGTGCTTAAAACAAGATTTAAAAACTAGGCAGAATTTTTTGTCCAATATAGCAAACATCTTAAAATCATCAAAGATACCATGTGAAAGTCATATGGAGAATAAGCCTATTTTTTTAATTGGTTAAGCAGTGCATTAACAGTGTGTGCAGAGGTAAAGCTGCAAGCAATTATAGTTCAGGAGAAGAAAGACAGGGAGAATGAACAGTTTTCCGCAAAGTTGATGATGAAGAGCACTGCATCCCTGGAAAGCTTTATGTTTTCTTCACAAAAAAATGCTTGCATTGATTAATTATAGGAGTTCAATAAGATTACAGTCTGGTACCACCAACAGAACTATTCAAACACTATTTTGGTGTGTTTTCCACATGCAGCAGGTGTTCATCAGTGCAATGAGCTCAGAAACATCTCTTGCCATTCCCACACTAAATGTTTACACTAAGAATTTTGGTTTTAGTGGTTGTGTGCATGTTGCATATAGTTATCCTGTAACTTTCTTCCCTCATCTTTTCTTTATGCAAAGTGGAGCGAAATATGATCTATGAGGGTGATGCTTTCAGCAGAGTTAAAAATATTGATATGCACTAGCGGCAATAATAAATTTTTTTAATCCCTAATGTCTTTGAAGGTCCATTAACCCTAATCAATCCAACACATCTGATTATTCTTGCTAACTGTCCTTTTCCAAACAAAGCTATATCAAGTTACATTAATAGCAATTAATGGCATCAGTAATTAAATATTAGCATGGATGTAAAAGCAAACTCTGAGATCCAAGTAGTGCCAACTTGGGCCATTAATTTAGTTTCAAGTCTTGCATCAGGCTGTTCTCTGAAGTGAACCAACCAAAAGTATGAGAGTGGAACTCAGCATATGAGTGCAAAGACAAAGTTTGATTTTTAACAACCCACCTCCTTTTTTTTTTTTTGGTGAAATATGTTAAATTCCCAGTGGAAAAAAAAAACCAACCCTCAGGATTGAAGAAACTAATCAGAAACATACATTAGAGCCTTAGTCATAAAGAAGTTGCTTTGTTTTAAAGACAAAGCAGATTTGTGGTAATGTTGCCACTTTTTATAAACTGTCAAAAACTAGGGATTGTTTTATTTTGGTTATGTGCCAGTCATGATTCAGGAACTGTTAAGAAAATTAATGTGCTATTTCAAATGTGGCAAGACCTAGCCTAGATTTAGGGTAGTCTGTTTACCTAGACAAACAAATTCATCTCAGAAACTGCAAAACTGAAACCAGTTGAAATGTCACGTAGCTGCTGACACTACTAAGAAAACAAAAATGTAGGAGGGCAGTGCTAATCACTGGAAATGCCAGAGGATGGTAAGGGAAATGTTCTG